AAATAGTCTCTCTCCACCTTTCCCGTAGCTCCTTCAGGTACTTCACCACTGAGACTCCACTGAGGACTCAGAGACAGGAGAAATGGTTGTAACTGCAGAAATATCCCAAAGACGTTCCCTTCCCAGCCTGAGCAGCTGAGCAGGAGGTACCTGGATGCCCTCTGTGGTGCTGTGGAGCAGTCCCAGTTTCCCCAGCAGCGCTGTCCTCTCCACCAGCAAATAGGCGACCTGTTCGCTGGCAGCGCTGTGAGCGATCTGGGACAGCCCTTCCTGCTGCAGCATCTCCTCCACCTCCTTCAGCTGGGCTTCTGCAAGGCAAGGCAAGGCTTGGGGTGAGCAGAGGAGCAATCAGGCCATGATTTCCTGCAGATCTGCTTCCCAGATCCTCTAATTCCCCAGTGCAGCAGCTCCTGTTTCTCCTGGAGCCCAACAGCTCCTCGAGTCTCTCCTGCTTCCCACTCCCTGTTCTTACCTGTTATCTCAGCCCTACTCCCTCTCTCCCAAGGTTTCTGCTCATTCATCCCCTTCCCTGCCTGCCAAGTCATAGGACCCACTACACCTACTTGGAGTTCTCCTGCCTGGTTTTCCAGGGAGGAGTTTCTACAACCATCTTCTCCTCCCAGCCTGGCTTATCCTCACACCGTTAACCCTGAGTGGTGGAAACTAAACAGGTTAAACATGAGGGAACCATGGAATCAGTAAGGAAAAGACCTCAAAGATCATCAATTCCAACCTTCAGATACCCAAGACCTCTTGGAGAGAAGCAGACATTTTCTTCAGCAAGAGACACAAAACACCGGATCACTCCTAGAGAGCATCACTATTTTCCCAAAGACAGAGGCAGATCTAAATATCTTTAAGAATTAAAGTGCCAATCCTTCACCATTTATCCCAAAATTATAGCCAGGAACACCCTGCACTGGGAAAAACTTCCAGATTCAATGGCAGATTTGTGACAGCAGCACTTGCAGAAGTGAGTTTATGGCCAGGCACTGCTGTGTTTGTGAAACAAACAGGTGCTGAGAAGATTCCCTCGTTTTTGTGGCTGGAATTTACCTGCCAGGAGAAAATGAGGAAGCTTTGGTCTCTGGAGTGGTCAGGGCAGTAACTCCTGCACCAGATCCAGCAGCTTGTGGAGCCAGGGAAGGGCTTTTCCAACCCTCCCTGTGTAATTCATATTAAAACAATCCAAATTTCTGGCCCAAACAAGGTTATAAAGGTTTCTGAGTGCTGCAGGATGGGAGTGCAGGGAGTTGTAAGGAAGAAGGAGGGATATTCCCACTTTTTCACTCAGGAAGCTGGAGTTGGACAACTGCTGTCCAGCAGAGCAAATATTCCTCTCCCCCAGAACACACAGAGCTCTGGACAAGCCTGGCCCTCTCTTCCCTGCACTGATTTAACCACATCCCGAGGCTCCAATCAATCAATCCCATGTTTCCACTCCGCTGTTCCAGCCCTGTGGATGGAAAACACCCTGCGGTTCCCTGGGGTCCCAGAGCACAGCTCAGTCAATAGGGGGTCAAACAGGGCCCACCAGCAAACAGGGCTTTGGGCAGCATCAAAATAACTGGACTTGCTCCGAGCATGTGCACCAGGAAGAGCCCATGGATCCCAGGACACGGCCCCCAACCTGCCCTGCACTTTGCTCCCAGAGTTTTGCCAAATCCCAGCGACAATGAAGGGGAAACTGCTCCCATTTATGGCCGGGAATGGGACCCCCTATAGAACTGACACCTTCCCCTGCTTCTCTCATACCCTGCCAAGTAATGTTTACTGGTACAGCCTCAGATCCCAGACATTTTCCACAGGCTGAGGAGGGAAAAGGATTTGTGAGGATGGGAATGGTCTGCCATACCCAGCACAGGTCACCTGCTTGTCAAACCCACTGATTTCTCACAAACCCCTTCCCTCCCCGACCCAGCAGGTCTGGGAAGAGCCAACAGCTCCCCCAGGCACTGTTCCACCCGAGCACTGCTGGGTTCCCACTGCCACCTCCTGTCCTTGCTTGTTTGGAAGCAGGTTTTATATTTGTATTTTCCTGCCCCAGGAAGACTCTCAGAAGCAGCAGCTCAGTGGTGTCCTCACCTCACCCCAGACCTGCCTGCCCTGTCCCTGCTGGGTGTGTTTCACCAGTCCAGCTGTTCCAGCTGCTACAACAAACAAGCTCAGACCACGACTATTTATCCTTTTTATTCCACTTTTGAAACAAATGGAGGCAGCTCCCCCCAGTGTGGTGCTTCACTGCCCATTCCAGTTGTTTTTCAGGAAGGCTTTTGGCACCACAGCACATGTGCCATTGACCTGCCCTCCAACAACACCCCGGGGTGTCCAACGAGAGCTGTCGGATCAGGAACCACCTGGAGGGGAGGAAAAATGTCACTCTGGGCAGAAGATCCACATGAGGTGAAGCTCAGCTCCATGGCCCAGCAGAAACTCAGCTCCATGGCCCAGCAGAAATCAGCCCTGGCTGCTCCAGCAGGAACCTGTGCCAGGCACAGAGTAAATCTGTGAGCAGGGATTTGTGTCATCAGAAACCACTCGGGGTCAGTGATGGGCATTAATGACCCTCAGAGCCTGAAGGGGCTCCAGGAGAGCTGGAGAGGGACTGGGGACAAGGGATGGAGGGACAGGACAAGGGGGAATGGTTTTAAATTAAAAGAGGGGAAATTTAGGTGGGATATTGGGAAGGAGTGAAGGTGGTTTGGCCCTGGCACAGGTTGCCCAGAGAAGCTGTGGCTGCCGCATCCCTGGAAGTGTCCAAGGCCAGGTTGGACGGGGCTTGGAGCAACCTGGGACAGTGGAAAGTGTCCCTGCCCATGGCAGGGGTGGGACTGGAGGGCTTTAAGGTCCCTCAAACCCAACCCAGCCTGTGATTCCATTCTATGAAACAACAGATCAAGTTGCTCCAAGTGATCCCAGATCAAGGTCTCCAGCCTTTACCTGAGTCTTTGCCCCTCCCTTCTCACCTCCCAGCTCCAGCTGTGAGGACAAGGCAGAGCAGGACAGATCCTGCCCCTCACACCATTCCCAGCTCAGGCCCCTCCTTTGTACCACAATCTTGAACCAGCCACTGTTCCCAACTGCCCTTTTAGGTTCTCCTTCCAATTCTCCCAAAAGCTCCCAACCACCACCTTCTCCTCTTGCCTCACCCACATTTTTAACAGTCCCAGCAGACCTGGGTCTGCCTTTCCACAAGCCCCTTGTCCATCCTGATCTGCAGGATCATCCTGTCCCTACTGCAGACACCCAGCTGTCCCCAAAAACAAGAGGGGGAGCAAGACCCGGAGCACAAGTGTGAGGAGGAGCAGCTGAGGGAGCTGGGGGGGCTCAGCCTGGAGAAAAGGAGGCTCAGGGGGGACCTTCTGGCTCTGCAACTCCCTGACAGGAGGGAGGAGCTGGGGGGGGCAAGCTCTGCTCCCAGGGAACAAGGGACAGGAGGAAACGGCCTCAAGCTGTGCCAGGGGAGGGTCAGGTTGGATATTTGGGAAAATTCCTTCACAGAAAGGGTGGTCAGGCACTGGCACAGGCTGTGCAGGGCAGTGGTGGAGTCACCATTCCTGGAAGTGCTCAGAAAACCTGTGGATGTGGCACTTGGGGACACAGTTTAGGGCTGACCTTGGCAGTGCTGGGGGAATGGTTGGACTTGATCTCAGAGGGCTTTTCCAACCTTAACAATTCCATGATTCTGTGATCTCTGATGAAAAGCAGAGGCTTGGGGAATGGACACTGGGATACAGACAGGACTCAGCAGCAGAGCCACATTAGAGCCCCAGAGCAGCCCGAGAGAATCCTTTGGGAATGTGGCACAGCACAAGCACATCCATCTGCTCCATGCCAGACATGGTCAGGGGGATTTTTCTGTGAAGTGGCTGAGCCAGAATCATGGAATCAGAGAATATCCTGAGCTGGAAGGGACCCCCAGGGATCATCCAGTCCAAATCCCAGACAACCCCAACAATCCCCCCCTGTCCCTCAGAGTGTTGTCCAAACCCTCCTGGAGCTCTGGCAGCCTTGGGGTCGTGACACTGCCCTGGGGAGCCTGGGCAGTGCCAACCACCCTCTGGGGGAAGGACCTTTTCCTAATATCCATCCTAAACCTCCCTGGCACAGCTCCAGCCATTCCCTGGGTCCTGTCCCTGGTTCACAGAGAGCAGAGATTGGAGCAGAGATCCCTCAGGAGGAGCTGCAGACCCCAAGGAGTCTCCCCTCAGCCTCCTCTTCTCCAGCTGAACAAACCTGCAAAGCAAAGACCCCAAAAAACCTCAATAAAAGACTCAATAAAACACTCCACAAACACCTCAAAACACCTCAGGGCTGCCCCCCCTCCCTGCAGGGGACAGCCTGGGGGGAGCAGGGCCTGCTCCACTGCCCAGATCCCTAAATTATCTCCACACATCACTAATGCCAGCACTGAGGTACAGGCAAGCCTTAAAACCCACAATCTGCCAGTGATATCCCAAAACCCCTCCAGAAAAACCCTGTGGCACTGAATCCACAAAACCCCTCTGGGAACAACACGACCACAACTAAAATCCGGATGCATGGACACGGATCTCGGCTTCCATTCCAGGCTTAATCATTGCTCAACAGCCACAAGAATCCCTCAGAAGTGGAAAAAGTCCCAGACCGGGAGGGAATCGCTGCATTTCAGCTTTGGGGAAGGCCCGTCCTTCTCCTGCCACCTCGTGGGCAGTGAGAGAAGAACCAGGAACAGAGTTTCCTGCCACAGTGACGCTCCCAAAAACTCATTAATCATTTCGACCCCTTGTAACCAGCATTTTCACCACAAACCACCACTTGAGGTGCCCAGAGGAACCGGAATTTTAGGCAAACCCATCTTTGGAAAGTCCCTCCGTCACATGTGCTCCTTGAAAACCCAAAAGATGCCCAAAACCACAATCAGTTTGCCCAAAACTCCTGAATTTGCTGCCCCAAACAAAGCCTGTATCACAAAGAAGCTGTGCCATCACCCCCAGTTTTACCTTAGGGCCAGGACAATGCATCCCATGAAAGGAGCTGATGTAACAAAGGCACTCAAAGCACAATAAAAAACTTAAGAAAATCAAGATTTAAACCCCCCCCCCAAAAAAAAAATACATTTGCCATTACTGGAAGTGACCCTAGAGTTTGAAAATAAATTATTTGAAGCAAAATAAATGAAATAATTCCTTTAAACAAAATTACTGCACCTAAAATAGTGGAGTTCTAAGTGGGGTAGTGGAAGGTGTCCCTGCCACGGCAGGGAGTGGAACTGGATGGGCTTTAAGGTCCCTTCCAACCCAAACCATCCTGGGATTCTGTGACAATAAACACACACAAGTTGGGAATCCCCAGTACATGACACTGTCCCTCACAGTTGCTTTAAAAAATGGGGAGTTTGGGTAAACCAAAGCCAAAGGCAAATTCACTGCCTGGGTGGGAGTGAGGAGTCAATGACGGATAAATCAGTGTTGGAAAGCAAACAGCACCATCAGTTCTGGCCTTCAAACAGCCTCTGGAAAAGAGGAAACAACGGAGCCACATGGAGAAAGTGCCAAATTCCCTGCATAAAGGCAGTGAAAGCAGGCAAGAACCTCTAAATCAATTAAAAATCAGCTCTAGCAGCTCATTAACACTTTTAGCAACCTCCCAAAGAGCAAACCACTGAGACGTCCCTGAGGACTCCCTGAGAGCTCCCTGAAAGCTCCATAAGAACTCCCTGAGAGCTCCCTGAGAATTCCCCAGAAAGGCTGCTCTGATCTCCAGGAAGGTTTAACACCTGCCAGGGCATTCCCTGGGCCCGTGGTGAGGAGAGATCACAACTCCAGATCAACTCCAGCAGCTCATTAACACTTTCATCAACCTCCCAAAGGGCAAAGCACTGCGAGGTCCCCGAGAAGCCCCTGAGAGCTCCCTGAGAATCCCCCAGAAAGGCTGCTCTGCTCTCCAGGAAGGTTTAACACCTGCCAGGGCGTTCCCTGGGCCCGTGGTGAGGAGGGATCGTTACCCTGGAGCAGTTGCAGCCGTGCCAGCTCCAACCTGAGCTGTTCGTTCTCCCTCTCGTACTCCGAGGCGATGGCATCCCGCTCCTCCGTCAGGGCACGCACGTGGCCCACGTAGCTTTCCACCTGGAACGGGGAAAACAGCCCTTTCCACCCAGAACAGGGAAAACAGCCCTACCCCTGTGGCTGCCAGAGCCTCCACAAGGGGCACAAAGAGCTCTGCCACCTTCGGATTTAAAGGATGAGCCCAAGTGTTGGTAGGACGCTGCACCTTCGGGACAGCTGGGGATGGGAAAACCTTGACTGGGAGGGGGTGAGGTGGGGGGGGGCTGGGATGGGGGGGGCTCTGAGCCACGGCTCTGTGGGAGATGCTGGGCTCACCACCTGCTTTTTGATGCCCCTACATGAGGAATGGGGACGCAGTGGGGATGCCCTGAGTTTCCCAGGGCAGCAGAGTGGCTGTGACACCCCTGGACATGCTGCTGCACAGAGGGGGTGTGGGACTGGGTGGGTTAAACCCAGAGGGGATCAGAGGATCACTTAGGTTGGAAAAGACCTCCAAAATCATCCAAAATCAGAGTCCAATCTGTGCCCGATCCCCACCTGGGCACTGAGTGCCACACCCAGTCCTTCCTCAGACACCTCCAGGGATGGGGACTCCACCACCTCCCTGGGCAGCCCCTTCCAATGCCTGACCACCCTTTCCATGAAGAAATTCCTCCTGATGTCCAACCTAAACCCTCCCCTGACACAGCTTGAGGCCATTTCCTCTCCTGTCCCTTGTTCCCTGGGAGCAGAGCCCGACACCCCGCAAGCTCCACCCTCCTGTCAGGGAGTTGTAGAGAGTGAGAAGGTTCCCCTCGAGCCTCCTTTTCTCCAGGATGAGCCGTCCCAGCTCTCTGAGACATTTCTTGTACTCCAGCCCCTTCCCCAGCTCCGTTCCCCTCTCTGCACTCACCAGAGGGATGGGTCACGGCTGGTGACCACACACCCACTGAGCCCCTCCAGGGATGGGGACTCCACCACCTCCCTGGGCAGCCCCTTCCAATGCCTGACCACCCTTTCCATGAAGAAATTCCTCCTGATGTCCAACCTAAACCCTCCCCTGGCACAGCTTGAGGCAATTTCCTCTCCTCCTGTCCCTTGTTCCCTGGGAGCAGAGCCCGACACCCCCCAAGCTCCACCCTCCTCTCAGGGAGTTGTAGAGAGTGAGAA